AACTCCGATCGACGCCTGCCGTTTTTGACATCATCCTCCCATTTCAGATAAAGAACAGAGGAGAAAAACCCACCCGCCCATAACAGGGGTTACTTTCCCCAGCCGGTCTACTGAAATCTTCGTAGTCTGCTTTATGACAAGGAGAGCAGCGGACTTTTCCAAAAAGAAAAGCTGGTCCAGACCATGGGAGCGTGATTGGCGTTGTTGTTATCCGAACATCAACGGGAGAACCCAAAATAGACTTTCAAAACAATTCGATCTGGATGGAAATTTTCTTTTCTTTTTGTGTTATGTGCTTGCTCTCCTCGGCCTCGCGTCGTCTTAAAAGATCAAGCCGAGAGAGGACTTCGCTACTGCGAACCTAACCGAATTGCAAACCGAAGGAAACTTACTGGGGTGTGGGCAAATATCCTCCGAAGGAGGAAAGGGGGGGCCCTGCGCGATTCCCCCCCCCCCGTATCTCTTAGTTGCGCTATGCAGAAGGGGAATCTCTTCTGGCTTCGGGGCGGAGAAGGGATTCTCAAAGCAAAGCCTCCACCAAAAAGTCGTTGATTGCCGGGGCCCCCCCGCCTCCCCCACACCTCCATTTGAAAGCAGGAGAAATGCTTTCTTTTGGAGACTTTCTCGAATCCAGGATCAGTCACAAAGCGACTGATGCTCCCGGGTATTTTTGGAGAGTTCAGGAAACCAGAGTAGCAGAAAACGCGGGTTCGGGTTAGGAACCGTTTGAGGTTTTAAAGCAAAAGCGGTATGTGTGTGCGTGTGTGGGGAGGGAGTTGGGGGGGTGCTTCCAGAGTTCTTGTGGGCGCGTGTCCCTGCCTGCTTGAGATTTGGGGGACGGTCAGAAGCCGCAGCGCCGCAACTCCCGGCTCTTCCTTCGGAAGGCTCGCAGCGCCCTCTGTAGGCTCGAGGCGGAATGCTTGCCTTTCCTCCGCTTCCGAGCCCGAGGAAGGGAAAACGAAAGCAAACGGGATTGCCTCGTTAGCCTCAAAAGCCAGGTCCGAGCAGCCCCCGCGTCGCTCCTCCTGGAGCTCTTAATGTTGCCCCTATCTTTCTGTGTTTTCTGGTGATGGCCTGGGGCTAAATGCGATTAGAACTGAGCCGAGCTGTTCAGCCGCGAAAGGCCGGGATGCTGTTTTGGAGGGCGGGATTGGGGGGGGGGGGTTGAGAGTCTGACTCGTAGTGAACCGCTTTGGCGTTTGTTCCAGTCATCCTGGGTGGTGGGCAGGCAATCACGCAGCCCGCTTGAGGCAAGTCCTGAGCGGTTTGTTCCAGAACCAGTAAAGCTTAAACTAATTCAGGACCATCTAACGTCCCGTGGATTTCAGTCGGCCTACATTAAGCAGGACTAAATATTCAACGGGAAGAAAACCATAAAGTTCACCGGGGCCAGGGTTCCACAACTGTTCTACCACGAGCGGCCGAAAAGGATCCTTAGCGTCGTTGCAGTGACATTTATATTGCGCTTGTTTCCAGCAGTCCCAAGGACGATCCATCTCAACTTTTCTCAAACTGGTTCCTTCCAGACCTCCACCAGTTTCAGCAGGCCAATCAAGAGGTCAGGAACGCCGGCAGCTGTAGCCCGAAAACCTGGAAAGGAGAGGCTGCCTTAGAGCTACTGAACGCAGCCATGGATACAAACCGTCTTGTAAAAAAAGGCCAGCCGGGCGAGGTTTGCTCTGTGTTGCGACTCTGGGGGAACAGAGCCTTGCCCAAAGTCAAGCAACGAAAGGGGCACAATTCTGATGCTGGGAACGCAGGCTATCTCCGTCCTCGACTGGAGAATCTTGGGAGGCTGTGAGAGGCGTGGAGGGGCACAATTCTGATGCTGGGAACGCAGACTATCTCCGTCCTTGATTGGAGAATCTTGGGAGGCTGTGAGAAGCGTGGTTAGGATCTGGCCAAGGGTTTTTTTTTTAATTTTATTTTATTTAATTTTTATTTTATTTTTGATCTGCCGATACAAACCCTGCTCTCACCGCGGGAAAAAATGTTGCTCTGCATGTTTAAAGGAAGTCTGACCGGCGATTTGGTTCTTCCGACCCACCTGTCCTCCATTTTCATTTATTTATTTATTTTGGCAAAGCTTTAAAGACCAATTCCGTCCGGCGCCGCGCAAGTCCCACGGAGTTCAGTCCCAGCGATCGCAGCACGTGAGCAACACCTTCCCTTTTCTCGCCTGGAAGCCGACCCGGACCGGCTTCCCATCGCTTCTTCGCGTGCTTTCTGCCGAGGAATTCCGGCCGAACCTGGCCAGAGTGAACGTTGGAATCTGCCCCCCCAACCTGCTTTTTTCGTTCATTCCGGCAACACCTGAGGAAATGCTTTGCACTGCAGTCGACGAGAGCTTCTCATGACAGAAAGAAAGAAAGAAAGAAAGAAAAGTCTGGCAGACAAATGTGAACAATTCACCTTCATGTGGAGAAACAACCCGCTGGCGTTAACCTGCCCGTTTGCCAACCGTCTGAGTTCCCCCTAAGAAGGAAAAACAAAACTTCCATTCAGTTTTGTGAAGGATGGGCTGCCTATTCTAGTGAGCACCCTTTCCCTCCCCTTTCCTAAAGAAAGAAAGAAAGAAAGAAAAGTCTGGCAGACAAATGTGAACAATTCACCTTCATGTGGAGAAACAACCCGCTGGCGTTAACCTGCCCGTTTGCCAACCGTCTGAGTTCCCCCTAAGAAGGAAAAACAAAACTTCCATTCAGTTTTGTGAAGGATGGGCTGCCTATTCTAGTGAGCACCCTTTCCCTCCCCTTTCCTTTTCCTTTTCTCTCTCTCTTTTATGCAAAAGCCATTCACAAACGCCCCCAAACGCTTCCTCTTGTAAACCCTGCGGCAGCGCCG